CCAACTTAGCTATTTTTCATCATTTTTAACAAAACTTAGAAGAAATTACTATAAAAATTACCTTATTAATTAGAAATTTGAAATATTTAAATCTATGTCTAAGATTTTGCAAGAGCTATCATCTGTCAGCTAAAAGAAAATTTATCTAAAGAAGTAAAAAAAATGATCTTCAAAAATGAATTTTATTTTATGGAAGCTTAAAATTGCCTTTCTAAAATGAATTTGATGATCAATTTATATTAATCATCATTTTAATTATTCTATATATATTAAAATAGTATAATTTCTAAAAGTTTTTAGAGAGAATTAATTATATCAATAAAAAAATTTTAATCAATATCATTATTTTTTATTCATATCATTGTACATAAAACTTTTTAGTATTAGATTTTTATTAATAAATATCAAAACTTATGCTTTATTAAGACTTTGGTTGATTCTATTGTTCGCAATTAAGATTTAGAATATTTCTTAGATTTAATCAAGAAATGCTCTTTCGATTAACCCTATAAAACCAATATAATAATTGAGTTAGAAAATCTTTTACAACTTAAGAAATTCAAATATAAAGTGAGGCGAATGCTGAAGCTAGAGAAATAGTTACTTATTAATTAATTTGCCATAAAAAATAAAGGTCTTAGAATTTGATTGTATCATTAAGGTTTTGACCTTCTTCTGAAATAAATTTTAAAGAGAATGACATAAAATCTTTCAAGAGTAATGAGGATAAATAATGAAGAAATGAATAAATTCTTCACTGAAAAACTTTAAATAATTTTGATTATTAGAAATTTAAGTTGTTAATGAACCTTGCTTTATCGGATATGAGAAGCAAACCTACATAAGATAATTTTAATAAAATCTACATGCATTTCATATAAGAAATTAGTAAGTCAATAAACATAAAACAAAATATTGAGAGTGTAACATTAAGGTAAATTTAAACATTAAAAATTAACTTATTTTATTTGCTTCATTCTTAGTAGTTTATCTAAAATGCATTTAAACAAAACAATTTAGAATAAGAATTAATTCAAACTTCAACTTAAAAATTAAAAAATAAAGTGAACTAATAAAATGAAAATTTGTTTTAATATTATGTAACAATGTTAAGAACATATGATAAATTTTATTATTCATACAATATATTATTACGTGGGAGGAGATCCTCTAAATAGAAATATTAAAAAGATCCCTTTGACCTAAATAGATTTTTATTAAAAATTTTTTAATAATTGAATAAATGAAAAAAGGGATATGTAGACTTGGTTAAGTGATGTTTTATTGATATCGGCAATACATGAGCTTGGATTTTATAAGCTCTTAAAAATATAAAAAAAACTCCATAAGCTATAAGCGAGATTACAGAAAGAACAATCACATTTTAACTATTCGTTAGTCACAAAAAAATTATCGTAGTTGATATTTCAGGTACTACTCGTGATGCCATCACTATTTATGTGAAAATACAAGAAAAGAATAAATTAATCTTAATAGATACAACTAATATGAAAAAAAGTAACAAAATACATTTTAACATAGAAAAACTTTCTCTTGCCATTATAATTTAGCATAAATATGCTATGATTTTTCTAAAGGAAGCTAAAATTCCATTTCTAATCAGGATTTGAATATTGCAAAGATCGCTATTAATAAAAAAAAGTATTGATTTTTACAGTGTATAAAATTGACTTATCAGATTAAAATATCAGAGACCTAAATTGCTAATAAAAAGGTAGATATAATTTCTTACAACTATAGATGCATTCCTAAAGTAGAGTTATTTGTATAACAAAGGAAGTTTCTAAATTTATCATTAAAATTGATCATAAATTTATCGAAATTCCTTTTACCATTTTATATTTATAGTAGTACATCTTTAATACCAAGAGATTAGTTTATAATATAGATAGAGAAATACAACGTTAAATGTAAATTTTCATATTCTATATAAACCTGTAATAAGAATTAGGCAGCTCTTTCATTTAATTGATTGCTCCTGTATTTTCAATTTTAAGGTATCCATAATATATCAAGAAAAGACAAAAGAAAATAGAATATTCTCATTATTTAGCAAAATTTATAAATCTCATTAAGAATGACAAGAAGTAAGCAAGTTATTTAAAAGATTGACCAATTAAATTTTTATAATATTATATTTATAAACTATATCTATCATCTAATTATTTATAAAATTAATTCTATCTTTATTTAAAAACTAATAAACTAAATAAAAATTATTTAATTTATATGTAAAAGGTTAGATTATATCTTAATAATTTTAAATTTATAAACATATATTCTAATTTGTATCTATTTTGAAATCTACCTTAAATTGTTCATTTTGAAAAACAAGTATTTAGATAAAACATTTATATTGTTATCGAAATTTAAGAAAATAAGCATTTATTTTCGAAAAAATATCTTGTCCTAAGATTCATTTATGTCAATTTTTTATCATTTTAGAAGTTTTTCTATTTAATTTATTATTTGTTTTTATTCTGGATAAATGAATTACCTCTCAGATTAGTTTAAAATAAGAAACAAAAAGTTATGGGAATTTTCAATTATCTTTTCCTTTAATATTGTGCAAATTAGAAAATTATTAACAAATATTAACCTATCCATCAATTATTTTAAAAATTAACAATTTGAAAATTAAATTAATTATGTCTAAAAAAAATTAGAAGATTTTGTTGATTAATATTACCAAACTTTTGATCTTAGAAGATCTTCCTATACTTAAATTATTTAAAGTAATAAAAAACAATTATCGATGATTAAGTTTTGTTTAAGAATTAAAAGTAATTTAACTTTCTTTACAACTATGAATTAATCAAATAAGAAAGTAGCCTCAGAGTTAACGCCAAATAAGATTGCTTTTATTTTAGAAGAAAATTAACATTTTAACATTTCTAGTTCATATTTTTTTAAAATAGAAATTAATCAATTAAGATAATATATTAATGGTAAAATTGTACTTTGAATCTTTCTTTATTTTTCTTTTGGCTTTTATAAATGTTAGAGTTTGGGATATTTTTTTAGTATTTTCTATGTAACTTATTTTAGTAGAATAATAAGCTCCATTAGAAAATAGAAAATAAAATATCTTAAGATACAAGTTGATGAGTATTTTCAAAAACTTTAATAGATTCTAAATATACTATTGTAACAGTAATCAATTTAATAATTAAATTTATTTAATTATAAAAGTTCTAATTAGTGAAATTAATCTGTAAATTTAGATTAATATAAATATCTAAGTAAACTATAATGTTTGTTTTGACTTCAACTTAACTAAAAAAA